TCAGGTATATGCTCCTTTTATTCCACACACCGGCTGCAGCCGTCTTCCGTTGTCGGTATCCAAGGTAATGCGACATTTTTCGAAGTTTCTCTGGGCTTACTTTCTTTTTTGCGTCAGTGACGTGACTATTTTCGTAACAAGTTTTTTCAGAGGTTGCACCTAGTTGCATTTCCACCGTGCTACATACTCTACTCGCCGTTTTGCATGTGCTTCTACGTCGCCTATCACATCTTTTTGTTTATGTTGCAAATGTCTTTACTAACATCTTTATTTTAAATGATTAGTTCGTGTTTAGTGTGTCTCTCCTGATGTTAATGCCAAACCTAATTTATTCAGTTGTCACTAACAAACTACATTTCTGGTATTCTCACAAAGATTTCATAGGAACACTTCATTTTATTGTCATGCACCTATGCTTGTTATTAGTAAAAGATATTTCCTTCATAGTTGAGTGGATATTCCCCCTTCAATCTTCTTTTTCGCAATATTGAGAACGGATGGAGTGCGCAACTTCGTAAGTACAGGATCGCTTGACAATGATCTAAGTTTCAGCTTCGCGTTTTAGCAGAATGGATGATTTCAGCAGAGCGCGGATGTCTGCGAGTCAACAGTGTAAGGTAGGAAGGGTTGATCGGATTCACCAGCCTAGGAATCAAGGTAGCGGTAGAATAATATTACGACAGCTTGGTTTACCGTCACGAAAGTTGGAGTGAATTCTTTGGCAAAAATGAAAGCGGTAGAAATCCTCGTATTTGAGCGAGCCATTTTGATATCGTGACGAAAACGGAAAACAGAACATTGAAATGTAATTCAAAGCCGCGTTGCATTCCTAAAACACAGCTGAAAAGTTCTGCGGTGAAATCGGCACATCTAGCCGCTTGCATTCATGTCAGGGATCTATATCGTGTGATTTGTCACATAACTATTCTTCACACCACTATCAACTCCATACGTAGGCTCCCTTCACATGAAAGCTAAAAATGGCAGCAAATAATTCGAGGAGTTTCATCCAACGCCATATGATGTTATTCTTTTTACTAATAACAAGCATAGGTGCATGACAATAAAATGAAGTGTTCCTATGAAATCTTTGTGAGAATACCAGAAATGTAGTTTGTTAGTGACAACTGAATAAATTAGGTTTGGCATTAACATCAGGAGAGACACACTAAACACGAACTAATCATTTAAAATAAAGATGTTAGTAAAGACATTTGCAACATAAACAAAAAGATGTGATAGGCGACGTAGAAGCACATGCAAAACGGCAAGTAGTAGGTATGTAGCATGAAGGCGAGAGGTGGAAATGCAACT